CAAACCCAAAGTTAATGCTAAAAATATTTTTATGGGTAACAAAATTTATGGATTCTGGAAAAAATGTATTTTCATAGCTTTAGAATAATCTCCGTTACAAGTCTATAAAAATGTGTATTCTTTTAACACTTAAAATTGGGGATTCAATGGTATCTATACCTTCTTCTTCTTCTTCCAAATACTGCCCACAATCAACATGATGAATATTCTGGCAAGTTAATGTAATCTACAAAAATTAGTACTCAACCGAGTAATAATAGTAAGCCCAGGCATACTGTTTTGATATCAAAGATATTTTACGGAATCTAATTATACTGTATAATTCAGAAACGAGAAATCTGTTCTCATTTTTATGTATTGTTGATTTGATGTCTGTAATTGTCTCAATGATGTATATCCCAAATCTTTTGTTCGTGTACATTTGAATCCTGTGAAAAAGAAATATATCTGACATCGTGTTGTGCAACATGCAAATATTATGAATGCATGACGTGAAAGTACATTGCCCAATATAACTCATAGATTCATTTCGACATAGACATGTTCTAATTACACTCCAGATTTGACGGAATATTTTTTTCTTAAAACCGTTTGAATTTTTGTTTGAAGAATTTACACAAAGAATGCACATGTTGTCCTAATAAGCATAACCCACTAAAAATGCAAAGTATAGGGAAAACAAAGAGTAGGTGTCAGACAGATCATAAACGTGCAAACATGTTACAACTCATCATTGTTCAGCTGCTGAAAAATATGAAGTCCTTCTGTTCAACAGTATTTGGGAAATATGTGATGCTTCTAAAGTTCATTCAACATATTGAAAATTAAAGAACCTTAGTGAGCGCGCTCACATACCCCACGTCCCCACATTGTCACTGGAGAACTTGAATAAAATAACTGTAAGAAAAAAAAATTGTATAAGAAAAAAAAATTGAATCATAATTTCCTGTCGATATGCACATCTACATAGTTTGTCCTTATTATCTACAAAGTTTCATGAAATTCTGTTGTGTGGTTTCAGAGGAGTTGCGATGACAAACTGTTGCAGAGGTATATTGAAGCAAATAAGTTCAAAGGGGTGTAACTCCTAAAAAAAATTGAATCGTAATTTCCTGTCGATATGCACATCTACATAGTATGTCCTTATTATCTAAAAAGGTTTCATGAAATTCTGTTGTGTGGTGTCAGAGGAGTTGCGATGACAAACTGTTGCAGTAGAACATTGAAGCAAATGAGTTCAAAGAGGCGTAACTCCTAGAAAAAAAATTGAACCGTAATTTCCTGTCGATATGCACAACTTCATAGTATGTCCTTATTATCTAAAAAGGTTTCATGAAATTCTGTTGTGTGGTATCAGAGGAGTTGCGATGACAAACTGTTGCAGTAGTACATTTAAGCAAATAAGTTCAAAGGGGCGTAACTCCTAGAAAAAAAATTGAACCGTAATTTCCTGTCGATATGCACATCTACCTAGTATGTCCTAATTATCTACAAAGATTCAGGAAATTCTGTTGTGTGGTTTCAGAGGAGTTGCGATGACAAACTGTTGCAGAGGTATATTGAAGCAAATAAGTTCAAAGGGGCGTAACTCCTAAAAAAAATTGAATCGTAATTTCCTGTCGATATGCACATCTACATAGTATGTCCTTATTATCTAAAAAGGTTTCATGAAATTCTGTTGTGTGGCGTCAGAGGAGTTGCGATGACAAACTGTTGCAGTAGTACATTGAAGCAAATGAGTTCAAAGAGGCGTAACTCCTAGAAAAAAAATTGAACCGTAATTTCCTGTCGATATGCACAACTTCATAGTATGTCCTTATTATCTAAAAAGGTTTCATGAAATTCTGTTGTGTGGTATCAGAGGAGTTGCGATGACAAACTGTTGCAGTAGTACATTGAAGCATATGAGTTCAAAGAGGCGTAACTCCTAGAAAAAAAATTGAACCGTAATTTCCTGTCGATATGCACAACTTCATAGTATGTCCTTATTATCTAAAAAGGTTTCATGAAATTCTGTTGTGTGGTATCAGAGGAGTTGCGATGACAAACTGTTGCAGTAGTACATTGAAGCAAATAAGTTCAAAGGGGCGTAACTCCTAGAAAAAAAATTGAACCGTAATTTCCTGTCGATATGCACATCTACATAGTATGTCCTTATTATCTAAAAAGGTTTCATGAAATTCTGTTGTGTGGTGTCAGAGGAGTTGTGATGACAAACTGTTGCAGTAGTACATTGAAGCAAATAAGTTCAAAGGGGCGTAACTCCTAGAAAAAAGATTGAACTGTAATTTCCTGTCGATATGCACATCTACGTAGTATGTCCTTATTATCTGAAAAGGTTTCATGAAATTCTGTTGTGTGGTTTGAGAGGAGTTGCGATGACAAAAGGTTGCAGTAGTATATTGGGCAAATAAGTTCACAGGGGCGTAACTCCTAGAAAAAAAATTGAATCGTAATTTCCTGTCGATATGCACATCTACGTAGTATGTCCTTATTATCTGAAAAGGTTTCATGAAATTTTGTTGTGTGGTTCGAGAGGAGTTGCGATGACAAACTGTTGCAGTAGTACATTAAAGTAAATAAGTTCAAAGGGGTGTAACTCCTAGAAAAAGAATTGAATCGTAATTTCCTGTCGATATGCATAACTACATAGTATGTCCTTATTATCTAAAAAGGTTTCGTGAAATTCTGTTGTGTGGTTTGAGAGGAGTTGCGATGACAAGAAACAGGACTGACGGACGGACAGACGGACCGGTCAAAAACATTATACCCTCCGCAACTCATTGCGTGGGGTATAATAATAAAAGTATCAACAAACAGGAAGTAGGTGTATGACAGATCTGAAAAGTGCCCACTCCTTATTACATTTTATCACTACCAAGCGTCTGACATCTATAAATATTCTGTAAAGCAGTTTCAGAATAAAATGTGACGAGAATATTTGTTGGATGAATAGAGGGAGAAAGGGACAGTCATATATAGGAATCCGGAGCAGTAGGGATATAAAACATTTAGATTTCTTAGATTTGAAATAGAGTATGGTATGTGATGCCTTTTGTCCAACCTTGCTGGAGTCAAAAAGAGAGATTTAGGCTTGCTGTTTCCAGCATTGGCTAGGTCAACAATTTGTTAATTTACGTTTTTATAGTTTAAGGGGAACCACAGGTATTAAATCAATGGTATTTGATCTTCAGTTGTATTACTTTTAGTATTGGCACATCACTCGCCCTGAACATGCATGAAATATTTGCCACTGGACATTAAGCAACTAACAATCAATCAATCATATTTTCATGTGGATTATTTGGCCCCACCCCTCAGTTATGGTCTATTGACTTAAAACAATTGCTTAGTATTATGTTAAGGTTTCTGATTAGGTCAGTTTAAGGGGAACAATTAATGGTAATTCAATAATATTTGGTATACAGTTGTGTAATCATTGGCACATCTCATTTTTATGGAGATTACATAGCCCTTCCCCCTCAGTCATGGTCTATTGACTTTGAAACAATTGCTTAGTTCAAAAGTCCGGTTCAGAGCAACCACTAAAGTTAAAGTCAATGATATTTGGTATGCAGTTGTATAAGCATTGACACATCTCTATTCCATGGAGACTATTTAGTCCTACCCCTCAGTCATGGTTCATTTGAATATTTTACATATTTCACATGTTAAAAGTATTGCTATTTCAATTTCAACATTTGTATTTTACTATCACCTTATCGCTATTTGTCCGCCATTGCTGGACATCATACAGGTTCCCGAAAAATTTTTAACGTCACAATAAAAAATGTCTGAAGCCACAAACGAAAAGTGATTGTTGTGTGACGTCAATAGTTCAAGTGTTGCAGATTCTCGGGTCAAGCGTCGCAGATTCCCAAATAGCGATAAGGTCTATTACATAAAGGTGAGACATATCTGTGTCAGCAGTTTATTTATTGTTATGTTAATAGGCTACTGATAATACATCTTTTTATCAAGGTGTTACAAACTGGTAACCAATCAACTGTCCAATTGGACAACATTTGTTTAGCAGTGATGATTGAAACAATGTTAATGACATTGTCATAGTATTGTCAAGGAATCATTTTCTTTGTTGTAGTGAATGTTTGTGTATTGCTGATATATACAATATGCTTCAAATTCAGAGTAATTATACCGTATATAATTAAACAAGATTTTGTTGTGAAGTCTACATTGCAAATGTGAATAAAAGAAAATGTGGGATATACTTTGATGAGACATCAACCCGTCAACACAAATAATAAAAAGACATCTAGAGGACAGCATACAGTCTTCAACAACAGACATGTTACTATACAATATGTCAATGTCTAAATCATCCTCAGTCTATAGAAGTAAATCAATACAATAGACAGGTGTCTATACAATATATCAACGTCAAAATCAGTCTATAGAAGAAGTAAATAAATACAATTGACATTTGTCTATACAATATGTCAACGTCTAAATTGTCCTGAGTCTATAGAAGAAATAAATAAATACAATTGACAAAAAGGAAATTAGATAACCAATGGGTTCAGTTAGGATTTTTTTTTAGATCTCATCCATGTCTCTTTTAATCCCAATCAGGGCTCCTACGAAAGATTTTAAATAATAGAACATATAATGAAAATTAGTACAAGAACAGTACTTTACTCTAAATTAACTGTTCCAAATAGTCAAGATTCATAGAAAATGCCATTCTTTACAGCTTCAGTTAACCAAAAACAAAATTAATTCCATGTTCAAATAAATATCTTGTTGTAATCTTAACCTGCCAGTGGTGACCTTCAGTCAAGGTAAGCACACACACACATTTGAGTCAATGTGATAATAGTATGAAGGTATACTTGGATCAATAAAGGTTGTTTAAAGATATGACCCAATATGCTTTTAATACATGTATCAGCTGTGACATTAGCCTTTCACATATAACCTTGAGCCAGTATATACTTTAAAGCATTAAAATTTATGAAATGTTTATGAATAAGCCATACTGGTAATTGTTAAAAGTTTTAATTTTATAACAATATAAACATAACAAATTATTCTGATATTAATAATGCTATTTTGAAAACAAGTTATACAAAAACATTCTGAAAAAAACTTAAAATTGTAACAGAGCACATAAGCTTGACATATAAAACAAAATAGGTATGGCATACAGGTTATCACTCACTATCAATCTGACAACAGACTTTGTTATCAACAAGGTAAGCTATAAAAGTTTTTGGCTTTATAAAATATATTGCATTTTTTTCCTTCTCAATTAGACAAAAACACATTCTGATCCTCCAAAATACAGGAGTCAGGGGCGGATCCAAAACCTCGATGTCTGGGGGGGGGGTCAGATCATTGTTTCTATATTTCTATATCTTTTAATTTTTTGCCATTGATCTCTATTATATTCGTCCTAAACATGCATGAAATATTTGCCACTGGACATTAAACAACCAACAATCAATCAATCTTTTCTTCATATTTCATCACCTCTTTATTCTGTTATCTATATTTTTGTTCCCGGTTTAATCTAACTTTTTTGCCCATTATTCTCATATCTGTAAACCCCATTCATATCCTTATAAATGGTGACCCATTCATAGCCTCATACATGTACATGGTAATTGAAACAAGAAAAATATACCTGTATTACTGTATGCTTGGGCTATTAGAAAAATAAAGCTAGGCAAGGTTTTTTTAAAACAAATTGTTGGTTTTCTTTGAAAATAAGAGTGTAAAGAAATAAGACATTCAGTTTAAAAAATAAAACTTGTATGATATTAAAAAAAGAGTTTGTTGTTGAATAAAGTCTTTAAAAAAATACATTCACAAGAAATTGAAATGTGAGTATTTTATTATGCCCCCTGTGCCCCCGGTAAATCCGCCACTGGGAGTACTTATTCTGGTGTTAAATAAAAAATAGCCACTATAAAATTCCCTACATAATATTATGCTATGAAAATGCCCCCAAAAACACTTTAGATTGTCCTTGTAAAACTATTTTAAATGATTATGTTATGACTGTTGGAGACTGTCTGCCAGTTAATTCTCTAAGTTGGGAGATCTCTAATGCTATATCTATCAATGGCTTCAAAACATCCTGAAAATGTAAAAGAAAAGATTATATATAAGAAAATGGTACATTCTGAAATGGTCAATGGGAGATAACTCTTCTCATTCTGAAATATCAATATTGCAGATTTTAGCAAAAAACAATGATAAATCTAACTTGAAAAATTGTTTTTGTTTGTTTTTAACCCCCACCCCCTTCAAAAACACACAATTTTCCAGGTTAAGTTAATGTTAAACATTCAATTCATTCAAGATGGCTTATCTGATGAATGCAATGATTCCTGTACATTATTGACATTTTGGCAAGAACTTACATGTACGTGAAGGGTAACTATCAACTAAGAGATTAATTGATATAAAATCTTTACAATACTAATACTGATCACCAACTTTGCTGCTATAATGAATTGTTTTGTAACACATAATAAATACCTGAGGATCACTAGTAAATGTAGCTGCATCAGACTCATATCCTTCTATATACATTCTTATTGTGGCTCCACTGCTTCCTGTTCCACTCAAACGGAAAATTATCCTAGAGTCATCCTCAAATATAATTCTTAAACCCTGGAATAAAATAAAACAGAAGGTTAGTCTAGAGTCATCCTCAAATATAATTCTTAAACCCTGGAATAAAATAAAACAGAAGGTTAGCCTAGAGTCATCCTCAAATATAATTCTTAAACCCTGGAATAAAATAAAACAGAAGGTTAGTCTAGAGTCATCCTCAAATATAACTCTTAAACCCTGGAATAAAATAAAACAGAAGGTTAGTCTAGAGTCATCCTCAAATATAACTCTTAAACCCTGGAATAAAATAAAACAGAAGGTTAGCCTAGAGTCATCCTCAAATATAACTCTTAAACCCTGGAATAAAATAAAACAGAAGGTTAGTCTAGAGTCATCCTCAAATATAACTCTTAAACCCTGGAATAAAATAAAACAGAAGGTTAGCCTAGAGTCATCCTCAAATATAACTCTTAAACCCTGAAATAAAATAAAACAGAAGGTTATCCTAGAGTCATCCTCAAATATAACTCTTAAACCCTGGAATAAAATAAAACAGAAGGTTAGCCTAGAGTCATCCTCAAATATAACTCTTAAACCCTGAAATAAAATAAAACAGAAGGTTATCCTAGAGTCATCCTCAAATATAACTCTTAAACCCTGAAATAAAATAAAACAGAAGGTTAGTCTAGAGTCATCCTCAAATATAACTCTTAAACCCTGGAATAAAATAAAACAGAAGGTTAGCCTAGAGTCATCCTCAAATATAATTCTTAAACCCTGGAATAAAATAAAACAGAAGGTTAGCCTAGAGTCATCCTCAAATATAATTCTTAAACCCTGGAATAAAATAAAACAGAAGGTTAGCCTAGAGTCATCCTCAAATATAATTCTTAAACCCTGGAATAAAATAAAACAGAAGGTTAGCCTAGAGTCATCCTCAAATATAACTCTTAAACCCTGGAATAAAATAAAACAGAAGGTTAGTCTAGAGTCATCCTCAAATATAACTCTTAAACCCTGGAATAAAATAAAACAGAAGGTTAGTCTAGAGTCATCCTCAAATATAACTCTTAAACCCTGGAATAAAATAAAACAGAAGGTTAGTCTAGAGTCATCCTCAAATATAATTCTTAAACCCTGGAATAAAATAAAACAGAAGGTTAGTCTAGAGTCATCCTCAAATATAACTCTTAAACCCTGGAATAAAATAAAACAGAAGGTTAGCCTAGCGTCAATCTAAATATAATTCTTAAACCCTGAAATAAAATAAAACAGAAGGTTAGCCTAGCGTCAATCTAAATATAATTCTTAAACCCTGAAATAAAATAAAACAGAAGGTTAGCCTAGAGTCATCCTCAAATATAACTCTTAAACCCTGGAATAAAATAAAACAGAAGGTTAGTCTAGCGTCAATCTAAATATAATTCTTAAACCCTGAAATAAAATAAAACAGAAGGTTAGCCTAGAGTCATCCTCAAATATAATTCTTAAACCCTGGAATAAAATAAAACAGAAGGTTAGCCTAGAGTCATCCTCAAATATAATTCTTAAACCCTGGAATAAAATAAAACAGAAGGTTAGCCTAGAGTCATCCTCAAATATAATTCTTAAACCCTGGAATAAAATAAAACAGAAGGTTAGCCTAGAGTCATCCTCAAATATAATTCTTAAACCCTGGAATAAAATAAAACAGAAGGTTAGCCTAGAGTCATCCTCAAATATAATTCTTATACCCTGAAATAAAATAAAACAGAAGGTTAGCCTAGAGTCATCCTCAAATATAATTCTTAAACCCTGGAATAAAATAAAACAGAAGGTTAGCCTAGAGTCATCCTCAAATATAATTCTTAAACCCTGGAATAAAATAAAACAGAAGGTTAGCCTAGAGTCATCCTCAAATATAATTCTTAAACCCTGAAATAAAATAAAACAGAAGGTTAGCCTAGGGTCATCCTCATATATAATTCTTAAACCCTGAAATAAAATAAAACAGAAGGTTAGCCTAGAGTCATCCTCAAATATAATTCTTATACCCTGAAATAAAATAAAACAGAAGGTTAGCCTAGAGTCATCCTCAAATATAATTCTTATACCCTGGAATAAAATAAAACAGAAGGTTAGCCTAGAGTCATCCTCAAATATAATTCTTAAACCCTGGAATAAAATAAAACAGAAGGTTAGCCTAGAGTCATCCTCAAATATAATTCTTATACCCTGAAATAAAATAAAACAGAAGGTTAGCCTAGAGTCATCCTCAAATATAATTCTTAAACCCTGGAATAAAATAAAACAGAAGGTTAGCCTAGAGTCATCCTCAAATATAATTCTTATACCCTGGAATAAAATAAAACAGAAGGTTAGCCTAGAGTCATCCTCAAATATAATTCTTAAACCCTGAAATAAAATAAAACAGAAGGTTAGCCTAGAGTCATCCTCAAATATAATTCTTAAACCCTGAAATAAAATAAAACAGAAGGTTAGCCTAGAGTCATCCTCAAATATAATTCTTAAACCCTGAAATAAAATAAAACAGAAGGTTAGCCTAGAGTCATCCTCAAATATAATTCTTAAACCCTGGAATAAAATAAAACAGAAGGTTAGCCTAGAGTCATCCTCAAATATAATTCTTAAACCCTGGAATAAAATAAAACAGAAGGTTAGCCTAGAGTCATCCTCAAATATAATTCTTAAACCCTGGAATAAAATAAAACAGAAGGTTAGCCTAGAGTCATCCTCAAATATAATTCTTAAACCCTGGAATAAAATAAAACAGAAGGTTAGCCTAGAGTCATCCTCAAATATAATTCTTATACCCTGGAATAAAATAAAACAGAAGGTTAGTCTAGAGTCATCCTCAAATATAATTCTTATACCCTGGAATAAAATAAAACAGAAGGTTAGCCTAGAGTCATCCTCAAATATAATTCTTATACCCTGGAATAAAATAAAACAGAAGGTTAGCCTAGAGTCATCCTCAAATATAATTCTTAAACCCTGGAATAAAATAAAACAGAAGGTTAGCCTAGAGTCATCCTCAAATATAATTCTTATACCCTGGAATAAAATAAAACAGAAGGTTAGCCTAGAGTCATCCTCAAATATAATTCTTATACCCTGGAATAAAATAAAACAGAAGGTTAGCCTAGAGTCATCCTCAAATATAATTCTTAAACCCTGAAATAAAATAAAACAGAAGGTTAGCCTAGAGTCATCCTCAAATATAATTCTTAAACCCTGGAATAAAATAAAACAGAAGGTTAGCCTAGAGTCATCCTCAAATATAATTCTTAAACCCTGGAATAAAATAAAACAGAAGGTTAGCCTAGAGTCATCCTCAAATATAATTCTTAAACCCTGAAATAAAATAAAACAGAAGGTTAGCCTAGAGTCATCCTCAAATATAATTCTTAAACCCTGGAATAAAATAAAACAGAAGGTTAGCCTAGAGTCATCCTCAAATATAATTCTTAAACCCTGGAATAAAATAAAACAGAAGGTTAGCCTAGAGTCATCCTCAAATATAATTCTTAAACCCTGGAATAAAATAAAACAGAAGGTTAGCCTAGAGTCATCCTCAAATATAATTCTTATACCCTGAAATAAAATAAAACAGAAGGTTAGCCTAGAGTCATCCTCAAATATAATTCTTAAACCCTGGAATAAAATAAAACAGAAGGTTAGCCTAGAGTCATCCTCAAATATAATTCTTAAACCCTGGAATAAAATAAAACAGAAGGTTAGCCTAGAGTCATCCTCAAATATAATTCTTAAACCCTGGAATAAAATAAAACAGAAGGTTAGCCTAGAGTCATCCTCAAATATAATTCTTATACCCTGGAATAAAATAAAACAGAAGGTTAGCCTAGAGTCATCCTCAAATATAATTCTTAAACCCTGAAATAAAATAAAACAGAAGGTTAGCCTAGAGTCATCCTCAAATATAATTCTTAAACCCTGAAATAAAATAAAACAGAAGGTTAGCCTAGAGTCATCCTCAAATATAATTCTTATACCCTGAAATAAAATAAAACAGAAGGTTAGCCTAGAGTTATCCTCAAATATAATTCTTAAACCCTGGAATAAAATAAAACAGAAGGTTAGCCTAGAGTCATCCTCAAATATAATTCTTATACCCTGAAATAAAATAAAACAGAAGGTTAGCCTAGAGTCATCCTCAAATATAATTCTTAAACCCTGGAATAAAATAAAACAGAAGGTTAGCCTTGAGTCATCCTCAAATATAATTCTTATACCCTGAAATAAAATAAAACAGAAGGTTAGCCTAGAGTCATCCTCAAATATAATTCTTAAACCCTGAAATAAAATAAAACAGAAGGTTAGTCTAGAGTCAATCTAAATATAATTCTTAAACCCTGAAATAAAATAAAACAGAAGGTTAGCCTAGAGTCATCCTCAAATATAATTCTTATACCCTGAAATAAAATAAAACAGAAGGTTAGTCTAGAGTCAATCTAAATATAATTCTTAAACCCTGGAATAAAATAAAACAGAAGGTTAGCCTAGCGTCAATCTAAATATAATTCTTAAACCCTGAAATAAAATAAAACAGAAGGTTAGTCTAGAGTCATCCTCAAATATAATTCTTAAACCCTGGAATAAAATAAAACAGAAGGTTAGCCTAGAGTCATCCTCAAATATAATTCTTAAACCCTGGAATAAAATAAAACAGAAGGTTAGCCTAGAGTCATCCTCAAATATAATTCTTATACCCTGGAATAAAATAAAACAGAAGGTTAGCCTAGAGTCATCCTCAAATATAATTCTTATACCCTGGAATAAAATAAAACAGAAGGTTAGCCTAGAGTCATCCTCAAATATAATTCTTAAACCCTGGAATAAAATAAAACAGAAGGTTAGCCTAGAGTCATCCTCAAATATAATTCTTATACCCTGGAATAAAATAAAACAGAAGGTTAGTCTAGAGTCAATCTAAATATAATTCTTATACCCTGGAATAAAATAAAACAGAAGGTTAGTCTAGAGTTATCCTCAAATATAATTCTTAAACCCTGGAATAAAATAAAACAGAAGGTTAG